GCATTTAAATGTAAATTGGGGCATTCTTTTAAAAAAATGGTATGGTGATTCCTTAAGATGCCAACATGCAATACACTTAAATATTTGTGTTTTTCTTGAAAGTATACTTTCTATAGTCTTTACCAGTCAACATCAAATTTAAGCTATATATAAAGACTGGTTCAATGGTAAACAGTAGCCATATGCAAACAGTCTTTCCATAAGTACCGCATTGATCAGATGTACTTCACTTTGACATTGCCAATTAAAATTAATGGCTTGAAAAATACACGTTTTATTTCTCTTCCACTCTTTTTAAAATTAATTTAATTTTATGTTAGGATCCAGAATTTGTCCGAGGACACACTGATAAATACACCATGGTATATATACAAAACGGAACATTACTTTGCTATAAGAAAAGATTAAATGCAATTGCTGCTATGTAGATGGGTTGGAGGGTATCATGCTGAGGGACATAAGTCAGAGGGAAGGGATAACAACAGAATGACCCTCCACATAACTGGCTTCCGTTATTGACATAGTCACCATTTACTCTACAACAAAGAATTATTTAATATGCCTATCCCGGTTCAAGTCCTCCACCTCTCTCAGAGATCTGGGCAAGCTACCAAGAGTATCCTACCCTCAGGGCAGAGCCTGGCAAGCTACCCGTGGTGTATTCGATATGCCCAAAACAGTAACAATAAATCTCACAGTGGAGATGTTTTTGGTGCTCGCTCGAGCAAATCGATGAAGAATGGGAGGACAGTACTACATGCTACAGTGCTATAGTTTAATACCATTTTAGATGCTATCTGTTATGAAATAGAATTTCACTATTACTAGTAGTTATTGACATATTTTCTATATAGTTCATGTCATATTCTGATTTCTCTTTCGGATATTTTCTTTTTTTTTTCTTTTTGATCACACTGAGCGATGCACAGAGGTTACTTCTGGCTCTGCACTGCACTGAGGAATTACTCCTGGCGATGCTCAGGGTATCATCTGGGATGCTGGGAATCAAACCGGGATCACCCGCATGCAAGGTAAATGCCCTACCTGCTGTACTATTACTGCAGTGCCGTTTTTCCTTTCTTTCAACATCCTTTCTATTCATACATAACCTTGGTTTAAGAAATCACAGGAGGGCTAGTGACTTAGTATAATGGATAATATGCTTCCATTGCCCACGGCCAATCTGTGTTTGATCCCTCTCACCCTGTATGAATCGATCCCTGAGTGATCTCTCAGCCCAGGAGTAAGCCTGATCAAAAGCTGAATGTGGCCGCATTATTTTAAAGAAAATAATAAGAGAAAGGTAGGAGAGGGAAGGGGATGGGAAGGGAGGAGAGGAAAAGAGAGTAGAGGGTAAGAGGGAAGAGGAGAGAAAATCACAAGAATGCAGCTGACTTCATAATTATTATATTCCTTTTCTAAATACAGTTTCCCAAAGAAACTCATTTTCATCTTCCTACTAACCTAAATTTTGATAATAAATTATTCATTAATGTAAACATCGTTATCTAAATATTCCAATTTATATTACAGCAATATTATTTAAAATATTTGTAATAAAAATAAAATATGAAGAAAATTTTCTTGTGATTTAACGAGAGTCTTCTGAATTCAAGAGTATTTAAGTTGTCATATCAACCTCAAAATATTTATGTCTTACTAAAGTCATTCATTATTATTTTGAATTGCTAAAATAAACTCTTCTGTCACAATTTTACTTTGCTTATAAAGCTAAATCCTATAAAAATAAAAAAATTCAAAAACTCAGTATTGAAGTGGAAAATCATATAATTAGTATTATGAAAATAATGCTCTGTAACCACTTTAATATATTAAATATAAAATGTGAGGATAAACACATCTGTAAATAATATATAGTACTTTATATTATAAAGTTTTTAAATCATACTTCCCAATTCAGTGATGGAAATGGTTAGGGTTCTTTATTTTCCTAATTCAAGTCTTCCCACAGGTCACTCCAATAAATGTGGTATTTAGAATACTGAATGCTCAGAATAAGCATGTCCCCAAAATAATCATAAAATGAATTATATAGTGATACCTTGATTGATAAATCATCTGGTAAAAAGGAAACTTCTGAAAGTTGTTCAAATTTAAAAAAAAGATTTTTTTCCACTCTTTCACTATCGATGACATTCTCTCAAGCAAAGATTTTTAGTAACCTGGATCTTTTGTGAGTTTTTTCCATCTCTGCTAAGGATACTTCAGAAATTATTGCCTGGGGACAGTGCTAAGTTCCAGACTCAGTTCAAAAGAACCATTATTAGTAAAACAAACAAATATACAAACAAACAAAACTTAATGGAATTTTATCCAACATCCTATGCAAGTATTTACAGGTTGGATTTTGAATTTGTACAAAGGAATGTACCCTTGAACATAGTGCCATACAAATATTTTTACTATCCCAATAATAATCCCTCAGCCCCCTCTTCATCAACCACTAATTTTTAAAGAACCTGCAGAGATTTGTCTTTTCCAGAGTGTTCGGACTTGTGATCACAATGTGAAGCATTTTCAGTGTTCACTTCTGACAACACTCATGAAACTCCATTGGTGCTTGAGACTGAATCTGGGTCAGCTGCATCCAACTCAAGTGCCCTACCTGCTTAACTATCACTCCAGTCCCACCCGACATTTATTTTTAACTCTGAGTATTATTCCAACGTATGGCATCAAAAGTTTAGTTAAGCTATTCCATGCTGCCTGTGCATCTGTTTTGTTTGAACAAATAGCTTAAAGGGATTTTAGAACTGATACTAAACTTGGCAAATAATACATACTCTGCAATAGCAAAAAAGTCTAATAAATGTAAGTTTCTGAAACCACTTTACCAACAACTTTGATTCACAGTCTCTCCTTAAAAAAGAAACAAAAACAAGCAAGCAAACAACCTAGAGGATTGACTCAAACCCTGATTTGGTTTTTTTTTTTTGAATTTGAGCCTTAATCTAGTAAACAAAAGTACTACAATTATAAACACTAAAAACAAAGAAACCGACCAACAAACAAACCACTTCTCCAGCACACTCTCCCTGCTCTCTAACTTTGACCTTGCTAAGTAACCCATGAAGATGTGTGGTATACTTTCTTTCAAACATGTGAGCAATAAATTGTATTTCATTATCTTTTGTAAGTAACTGTTATGGAAGAGTGGCTCGCCAGGAGGTACCCCAGGCTTCACTTAACAATATCTGTAGCATTATAGCACTGTCCTCCCAGTGTTCATCGATTTGCTCAAGTGGGTACCAGTAACGTCTTCATTGTGAGACTTGTTGTTACTGTTTTTGGCATACCAAATACGCCACAGGGAGCTTGCGAGGCTCTGCTGTGTGGGCAGGATACTCTTGGTAGATTGCTGGTCTCTCTGAGAGGGACGGAGGAACAGAACCTAGGTCGGCCGCATGCAATTTAACAAAATTACAATAGGTGGATAAGTCATTCTTTTAACCCATTCACCTAATCAAGTACATCTTGGTTGCTTGCAAATTTTGAGAATTATGTCTATGTTCAAGTTTTGGGGGAGATTTAACTTTTAAATTCCCTAGAATAAATATCAATTAAATAGATGAAAAAATGCTCATGTAGCATTTATTATAAAGCTTAGTTACAAACCAATAAACTGTCTTCCAAAACTTCTCTACTATTCTGCATTTCTACAGTGCAATTCAAGAGTTGTAAATAGTTTATTAAAGAAATGATATGGAAGATCCCCCAGTATTAAGTATATAGCATTAACAAAATCAATGTTATGATTATGTCAAATACAACTAAATAGCATAAAGCATTTTCACATAATTAAAATTAATATTTTAAAAATACATTCACTTATTCTGATTGAAATTTTGAATAAAATTATAAAGAATCTATATCTGTTTATAAGTACATAAAAACATTTTAATACCTAACCATATATAAAAGAACAAAGTTCCATGTACACCAGAGAAAAAGTGTGCATACACAATGTATATGTGATATTTGTGCACGCCCAAATTTACTTTCACATGAATTCATTAAATGCCACACTTAGTCCTCATAGTTTGCACAGTCCAAAAGGTCACATTAGAAAATATAATAATATCAAGCCTGTGAATGAAATATGAATGCCAATAAACATATTAGTGTTTTCCTTTTCAGAGAAACATAAATTAATGACTTGACAATATCAGTGATATGCCATCTTATCTTGGCTATCTTATCTTTCAGAATTCAAATTTACAGTACCTTTCTTGTTGTTGTTAGTTTTTGTTTGGGGACCACATCTGGCTGTGTTCAGGGCTTAGTCCTGGCACTGCACTCAGAGATCACTCCTGGCAGGGCTCAGGGGACCATATGGATGCTAAGGATCAAACCCAACTCAGCCACATGCAAGGCAAGTGCCTTACCTGCTGTACTCTCTCTCCAGCATCAAACTTTGAATACTTCTGGGAGAAGGGGATGAAATTGGGCCGCATCTGGTGGCACGCAAAAACTATTTCTAGTTCTGTGCTCAAATTGACCCCTGGCAGTTGTCACGGGACATATTTGGTGGCATAAATTTGAATCAGGTTAGCCAGTACACAAGGCAAGTTCCTTAACCCTTATACTATCTCTCTGGATTCAAATGTATAGCATATTTCAGAAATATCAGTTCCGTTCTTTAATTCAGTTTTTTTAATTCACATGCCATTACCAATTATTTTGGATGTGCTTTAGAATAATACAAACTTAACTACACTTCCCAATAACATAGTAGTTGGAAAATATAAATTTTAACCCTCTGGTTCACTGAAAATAAACAAGACATACCTCAACAGAGAACTTCAAATTAACCTTGCTGGCCAAAATATTATAGTTCTGATTCAAGTTACTGAATGTGATTTTTCTCATAACTTATAGTTGGAAAGTAGAATTACTTGTGAAACAAGAGAAACTGATTGAGACTATGGTGGATGAAGTTTCTGTTCCACAAAAAACCAATTGTGCAAGAAAGCAATTACCTTAATAACAGATGTCTCAACTCTAGATGGGGGACTCTGCACTTGTGCTGCTGCCGCCATATTTGCAATCGTGCTGAGATGGTTCATCTGGCTCATTGCCATGGTAACAGATGCTGGAGGTAGGCTGACAGGAATTAGAGGGTGGGGCATCATCATAAAAGGAAGTTCCAGTCCTACAAAAAAAAATCATTTCTCTGGTCATACAAAACTATAAAGCATACTATATCTTAATATTAAGATGATTACATAAATCATTGAAAATTGAAGCATTCAAAAAGGTCTTAATAGTGACAGTCAAAAGACACACAAATCTCCTCTACATATGCGACAAAACCCACTCACCACTCAGGGAAATTAGGCTAAAAGCTAATTCATTTGATGCTATTTACCACATTACCACTCCATGTGAGTAATATAAATGGTCAATTACTATCGTACTGTACTTATCAGGCTAACTGGTTTAAAGTACTAGGGTTTTCTTTAACTTATCACAATCCATCATCTACATATAAATGTAGTATATCTCTCCTAGAGTTTACTATCCAAGAATTAGACAATTTATTTACTTTTTCTCTCAAACTATCACTTTAGTGCTGAAAAATGCCATCGTACCATTTGGCAGAAGGTGACTCTGCTGAAGATGGTGGAGAGGATGACTAAGTGGATGACTATGCGCTGCAGACATGCGGGGGTGAGTAACAGAAGCCTGAGATCCCTGGGGTGGGTAAGAGTACAGTGTTTCCTTATCCCAAGAACCATCACTGCTGCCTGTGGGGAATGAATATGAATTATTGGATACAATATTTTTCCAAATCTTCTGATGCCTATTTGAAATGAAGATTTAAAAAGCATATCACATTTGGAGGCTACGTAATTTCTTGGGAAGTAAGTTCAAGTATATCTCCCTGAAACCATATTCCTTTTCTGCTTTTGTTTCTTAGAAAGGTTCTCACGTTGTATGAAAAATAATATTTCTCCAACATTGAGTCTATTTGTGGAGTCTAATCCTAGTTGACTAACCAATTTAGTATAAAATGTGCTCTTTCTCTACCTGGAGAATTAATTACTTTTTGGAACTGAAGCACACTGATAATTACAAAATGCAAAGTTACTGTGTATTAAGTCACATTCTAGTCAACACTTTCAAGTTAAACTCCCTATTTATTTTCACAGCAAAAAAAAAAAAAAGAACCATGAATTCATTAAATGCCCAACTTAGTACTCGTGGTATGCACAATCCAAATCCAAAAGATCACTTTTTAAAAGATAATAATATCAAACCAGTGAATAAAATATGAATGTCAATAAATATATCACCTGTCTTCAGTTTCAGAGAAGCATAAATTTATGACTGTGACAATATCAGTGCCCTGCCAAAGTCAAAACAGTACAAAGGCTTGTATTTTAATATTGAAATTCACTTCTTAGATTCAAATAGCTCTAGAAACGCATTAATAGGATAATACTTAGAAAGAGTTATAAACCATTTTAATTTAGACATGTCCCCAAATTAAAATAATTTGACTTAAATTCATCTCGTAACTAAATCTGTTGAATATGTAGGCTAAACACTTGAAGAAAGCTGTACTATCTCTGCCAGCTATAAGCTTTAGTTTCTTTTAAAAGGAAAAGGAAAGGAAACCATATTTTCATATAATATGCTTAGAAATAGCAAAGTTGGTAAAACTCCAATTTAAAAGCTTTAGCTCCATTAAAAGCCCCATTGTAAAATCTCTAAGACATAGTTTTTAATGAAGAATACTTAGTTACTGCCATGATTTTTTTTCCATTTACTTCATGAAGACAGTTAAGGTTTAATATAAATTCAAACTCATTAGCTCAATATTGTCTGGATCTTAGAGTAAATTGTTCAGAAGTGGGTAATGAAAACTCAATTCAAATTCTTCAGCAATCAAACAAAGCAATTTTATTAAACAATGAAAAGAATCAATTAAAATGGATATCTTTATTATCTTTATGATTTTACAAGAAGCCATGACAGCTCTCGACTTAAAAAAAAAAGTTTATAGCTTTATACAGAAATGACTCACATAAAAGAAACTTCTCCAGCATGTTCCTATACTGTGATAAAAATTTTCACTTCACAGTCTTGAACTTATATACCTGATTTTTCTAGTCTTGACTTATATTGGCATTTATACCTATATTCTAGTCAGATATGCAAAAATTATAAGTAAAAAAATTAATCATATAATATGAAGTGATTATCCAGTGAGAACTAAAAAATTAAGCATTTTCTCTTGACAGTGTCTTTACTAAAGCACGTAAAAGTTTTGCCATTATGTATTTACTTTTCAATGATGCCAGTTCAAACAAAAATCAAAGTATTAATCGTGGCCTATTTGAATATAGAGAATAGAATAAATGTTATTTTGACATAGAAAATTCATATAAAGTCTCTAAATGATATTGTCTATTCTGTTTCACTGAATATACAATAAAAACATACATATTTCCAAAGTGTACTGCATATTACAATATAATTCACTAATATATGGACTAGAGAAAAATACATGAAAAATACATACATCCAGATTACTCTGGATTCAGTTTCAGTTCCATTTACAGTTGTTTACCTTTATTTTTATTTAAATGAACTTTTCTCTTATTTGAATACAGATTATTAAGCAATAAATGCTAATTTTTTCAAAAATATATAAATTTCATTCTCAAAAGAGAAACACTTATTACTATGTTCATATTATCAAAGTATAAAGTATTAAAGTGAAATTCTGATGAAATTTTCTGTGTACTGATTATTGTCAAATCTTCTTTGCACCACAGGTTATTGGTGCTCTGTGTAAAGGTAAATATCAATCATTCATATGTGAGTTTCCCATATAGGTTCAAAACTCTAGGTAGGATTTTCTCACCTTGTAAAATGCTCCTAGTCATCTCCACCAATCACCATTTATTAAATACTCATGATGCTATCTAATTTGGGTAATAAGTAGAGCAAAAAATTCTCAAATAAGTTTAATGAAAAATATATAATATGTTACCAAGTCAACTGTAAGTGATTTTTGAATTATTTATAACATCTTTCTACACTATAGCGTGAATGGGGATTGAAAACAAGCCACTTCAGAATAAGGCATGTCCATAATGATTATATATATCTGCAAGTGTGTGCCAATTTATTTGGAGAGATCAACCAGAGAAAAAATTTCAGTATTTGGATGAGTGGCAACAATTACATTTTATCCGTCAAATTATATGTATATTGTGTCCCAAACATAGACTCTCAATAATAAGAACCCAGTATATTTTTAATGAATTAGATATAAAGCATGTAAAATAAACAAACAAAGGAGTGATCTGTAACAGAAATACTTTCTACTAAGTATTACAATAGTAAAAGTTCATATACATATTCTTATCCTTTGTACATAGGTGTCATGTAACTATTTGTTCAGATTTTTCCCACCGGCTGACCCTGATAAAGGAGGCAAATCTCAAAGGAACTAACGGTCACACCACTGCTTAGTGAGTGACACTGATAGACTGTGACGGGAACCTGACATTGTCAAGATTTGTTTACAATAAAAATGATGGCAAGACCAGGCATTTACTCCATACCATTGGAGACCACTTAGAAGGATGTCAATTCCATCTAAGCAATGGAAACAAGACTACTAAGTAAAAGCAAATACTGAACACAGGAGCTACAGATGTTTAGCTGGTAATTTAGAAGTAGGTGAGACTACATTAGAATACAATGGGAGATTTACTTCAACCTCAGAAAAAAAAATAGGTGTTATAGAACGTTAGTACTGACACTAGAATTGTACAGAAATAGGAGAAACAGTCCTCTCATGGGTTACTGCAATGTGATCTCTAAATCTTCTGGGTAACGATCAGTTGGTCTAGTTTAGCATATTTAAACAATGAAATCTTCTGGTACTTTCCTTCAACATTTTCAAATTGCCTGATTTTAAAATGAGGAAGAAGCAATCTTTTAGGAATACAATTAATTAGGGGCACAATTAAAAATGTTCTAGTTTAAGTACAGTATTTTAGCAAGGAGAAAACCACAAATAATTTCTAATTGGTATTACAAAATCAAGCCAAGAGAGTGGGTCATTTCAAAAATGTAAAATTCATATTTTAATATATCATGCTTGACTTGAAACTGCTGGGGAAAAATAGAAATAGTTAGCTGTCATATAAATAATCATGCTTAGATTTTATTCTGACATCAATTAATTTTTATAGAGAAAAATAATAGTAATAAATTTATGCTATACTTCTATAAATAAATATGAGTCGTTTAGGAAAATATGTTACTTTCCTGGCATATATGCTTAATTATCTATATAAACTTCTGTGTGTCTGAGCATCGAAAAAATGGAATTCAAAACTGTTGCTATGCAAAGAGTTTCACATTACCTGGAACATTTTCTTTAACGATAGATAGTTTTGTATATTTCTTTTAATATGTAAAAGTGAAAATAAGATTTTGTTGATATCAGTGTTCTTGGACTTCTCAAAACTATAGTGGTAAAAATTATTATCATAATCGCATATTTCTATTGCCTTACAAATTTCAGAATATTGTTGAAAATAGCATAAGTTAACATGATTCACAGATTGACTAAGTATTGAAAATAGAATTATTTATTTAAAAATATTTGTTTCATTATTTTTTACCTTAGCAAATGACTGACTTTTGAGCAAAAAAGAATAATAAAGAATTATAAAATTTGAATGGAGGTTCTGGTGAATAAAAGTAATGAAAAGTGTGGCATTACTAGTATTAATTATCCAGAGGCATTTTGAGGAATCTTGGGGAAAAGTTAAGATAAACAATAGCTAATTTTAAAGTCAGGAAATTGTTAGAATGAATTATTACCTAAAGAACAAAATACTATATTTAATCTCCCTATTCCTTAACAAATTCCAGAAAGTTTGATGCAACTAAAAATAGAAGAAAATTTAAAGATCATTACTATTAAGATAAAAGGTTGAATGCTATGTGTGGAGAAGACAGATAATTATATCACACAACACTTTTTTTTGATGCTGTTGTTTTCTTTGGACTTATTAGCACCATGTTCTCAGTGTTAACCAGCTTTATAGCATAAAACATATCCCCCCAATCAGAACAAACACAAATTCAGACTAAGTAGTTAAAAAACAAGAAAGAAAAAAATAGTAGACAGCTTTTATTGACTACATACTTCGGTGCATTGTTCATATGCATATCAAAATTAGTGAAAGTTAGAGCCAAATGCTTTTAGTAAGTGGCTATACTGGCTAATTTCCTGGGCTAAAGTAGAATTTTATTATGGGTAACAAAGAGGAAAGAAATAATAATACTTGCAACATATTTAAACTTTCTAATCTAAATCATTCATAAAATTCTTTCAAACAGTCAATTTGGCATAGTTTAGATGCATCCTTCTTTTATATTGTATTGATGGCTTTACTAGATAAAGCCATGGGGTGTGGGTACTCTACTTATGGGGCTTTGAGCAGAGTTGCTAAAGGTGTTGATGCCTGGGGGCCGCCAGGTTGATTGTGGAGATTGAATCAAGGAACTCACATCCAAGACTCTTCTCTATCACATGAGTCTCATCTGTTTGTTTATTTTACTCTTGGGGGTCACATAGGTGATGCTTAGGGTTTACTCCTGGCTCTGCACTCAGAATCACTCCTGGTGTTGCTTGGGAAGCCTTGCGGGATGCTATAAATTGAACCCGGGTTGGCTGCTTGCAAGGCAAGTACCTTACCTGCTGTACTACCTC